AAGAAAGAAAGAAAGAAAGAAAGAAAGAAAGGAAGGAAGGAAGAAAGAAAGGGGACAGTGCTTAAACCATTTTTTAAAAAATATGCCAGAGGGTGCATGCACTCACTGGAGAGACACGAGGTGGAGAGAAGGGAATGAGAAGGTGACCCCCAAGGAGAATGGTCACACTGCAATCCCCCCTTCCCCATCTCTCTTCTTGGGTATGCATGCACATCCTCCTGACATGTTTCTCAAGCTACCGGGTCCAGGTGGGGCCCGACAAACCCCTCAGTCACTTTTACCACCACACCACAGGTTGGGCCTACCTTGTCCCTATCCATCAACCCAGTGGGGTCAGGCAGTATCCTCAAATCAAATACCCTAAATTGTTTTTTGGTGTTTTTTTTTTTGAGAGGTTTTTGCTATAGGGCGCATGTGCTTGCCAGAGAGACAGAAAGCGAGAAATCATGCCCAAAGAGGAAGGCCACGCTGCAATCCCTTCTCCTCCATTCTCCTCTTGGGATCTTGGGCACGCACTCACATGCGCCTGGCATGAGTTTAAGTCGACAGGTCCAAGACTCGAACCACAGTCAACTACAGGGGAGTCTAGAGATGTAGCCATTATGGCAACCGCTGGTCCCTACTCTAAATGTTTTTACGGTGAGAGTTACTAATATTCACACTTAGGGGGCCAGTAGGTGGCCTGGTAGTTAAGGTACTAGACTCCTACATGGTCAACCACGGTTCAAATCCCAGGCGTGGTGGCTTGCTTTCTCACTTTTCCTGTCTCTCTCTGGTCAAACTAAAATATAATAATAATAAATATCATGAAAGAATAAAATAATTCTTTTTTAAAAAATGTTCACACGTAGGGACCAGCAGATGGCATAACGATTACATCACTGGACTCCCCCTCGTCGATGGTCGTTCAAGTCCCAGACCCAGCAGCTTAAACTCGCTCTGGGCGTGCATGCATGCCCAAGATCCCGAGGGAAGAATGGAATGTGGTGTGGCCATCCCCCCTGGGAGGGTGATTTTTGCTTTCTGTCTCTGTCTCTCTCTGTCTTTCTGGCAAGTGCACATACCCTAGAGAAAAACCTCTCTATAGAAAAAAAAAAAAGGAAAAAAAATTGCACTTAGTAGAATAAAAAGACTACAATTGGCACAATCCGTGGTGGCACAAGCATTGGGGACACAGCTGTGCAGTGACCTGGGCCACATGGGATGCCCAAGCGTGGTCCAGGTCCCCCTGGACACGCAGGACTCTGGAGGGTGTGCTTGTAGTCCTGGGGGGGGGGGCGGCTGGGGCAGGAGCATCAGGAAACACAGCCGGACCATAGCGGAGATACTTACCCCCCACACACACCGTGCTCATGTGCTTGCTCCTTTCTGTCTCTCATTAAAAAAGCAAAAACACAGGGGACCAGCAGTTGGCGTAATGGCTACATCTCTGGACTCCCATGTAGTCGACCGCGGTTTGAGTCCCGGAGCCAGCAGCTAAACTCACACCAGGTGCTTGTGCGTGCATGCGTGCCCAAGATCCCGAGAGGAGAATGAAGGAGAAGGGATTGCGGTGTGGCCACCCCCCTGGGGGGTGATTTCTCGCTTTCTGTCTCTCTGTATGTTTCTCTCTTTCTAGTGAGCGCACGTGCCCTATAACAAAAACCTCTCCAAAAAATAAAAAATAAACAAAACACACACACAAGAGGCCAGTAGGTGGTGCAATGATTAAGGCGCTGGACTGCCACACCACTGACCACGGATCCAGTCCCGGACTCAGTGACTTGAAACTCTCACTAGGACCATGTGCGTGCCCTAGATCCCCGAGAGGAGAATGGAGGAGAAGGGATTGCAGGGCCATGCCCCCTGGGGGGTCATTTCTCACTTTCTGTCTCCATCTCTCCAGTAAGCGCATGCGCCCTTTGGCACAAATCTCTCTGAAAACACACACACACACCCCTCTATCCCCCCCACATGCACAATCATTAACATCCGGTTAGGCTGGAAGTTACTACCAAAGAAATGAGCAAGACAACTTTTGATTTCCAGAGCTTTTTCAGTTTGGCAATTCAGGACTCGGAATAAAGTTAGCCAACTCCTCCAACAAACGCCTTCTAAGAGAGGGGCAGGGTTTTTTTTTTTTTCTTTGTTTCTGTTACAGGGGATATGCGCTCACGGGAGAGAGACAGAGAGAGGGCGGGAGAGAAGAGAGAAGTGAGACAGCACCCCCAGGAGGCATGGGTACAGCACAACCCTTTCTTCCTCCATTTCTCCCTCCTTTTGGGATTTTGAGCACATATGCACGCGTGTCCTCGAGCCACTGCGCTGGGGTTCAAACCACCACAGTCAGCCACATGGGCTCGGCCACCTTCACCACCATGCGACCAGCTGGCCCAGGGCACTGTTTGAACACACTAACTCACTCCACGTTCACGGGAGCCCTACAAAGATAGGGAGCAATCATCAACCCCATTTCACAAGCGAGAAAAGCGGGTGCAAAACGTGTCACTCGTGCCTGCCAAGACCATCCCGTGTAATAGATGAGGAAAAAAGTAGGCAGAGATTTTGAATCCCTAGAAAGTCGATTGAAGAGTCTAACCCAGGAAATCTGGCCCTCTCCTTGATGCGTTCCCTCCCGGTGGGTATTAGGGGGAGCGTGAGCAGAGGGGTGGCCCAGCTGAGGGAGAAGTGAGACAACGTGCCCCCCCTCCTCCCTGCTCCCCGTCCAGCCCTGCAGCCCCCTCTCTGCCCTTACTTAGAATCAGGGTCATCTTTGACAGGTCTCTTGGGCAGATACTTTTTCACCAGGCTCCTAAGGGGAGACAGAGGCAGGATGGCTCAGCCCGCAGCCCTCCAGCCGGTGCCCCCCGCCCTGCGGCGTGTCCACTCCAGGATCTCCCAGCCCTGCGGCGTGTCCACTCCAGGATCTCACCGCAGCTGCTTCGCGTAAGCCTGTTCCACCTCCGTGCGTTCTTTCACGAACTTCACGTATCTGTCCAACAGGTCCAGCCCCCACTGCGTGTGTCGTTCGAGCACTTCAAACTGATCCTGGCGGGGGGCAGGGGGGGCTTGGAGTGGGGGTGGCTGGGGGTGACCTCAGGACCCCACAGCCCTCAGACCAGGCGCCCTGGGCGTCTCCAAGCTCTGCGCTCCTAGGAGGAGTGGCTTTTCCGGCGCCGCCCCGGCGTGGCGCGGGGGGAGGCAGGAAACTGGCGGGAACCCCCTCCCCTTCCCGGGAAGGGCCAAAGAACAGGCGGTGGGGGGGGGGGGCCCCCCCCGGGGAGGGGAGGGGCCGCAACTGGGGGGG